TATCCCTAAAACTCTAATTTTTACCCTCCTACTTCTGAGTTCCTAGCCTGTCTTAAGTGTCAGCCAACCCAAGCTCCCGCCAAATGCACGCACGCATTTATGCCTACCTCGGTAATTACGGATTAAAACATTTAAATAAGATTTTGGATCAACTGGGTGTTACGGTGTTTATGCTCAGTTAGATCAGTTTTATTCATTATTATGTTATGTGCTTTAGCGAAACAACTTTAGAAAACGCTTCGCTTCTCTTTGCTGTCTTGAGCTGATCTGAAGGCTGCGTGGCTTCACTGGCACAACTTAGTATGGATGAGAGGCAGATGCAGATGCATCAGCAACAGCGGTGCCGATAGCGGGTCAGTAAGCCTTGCCATCTCCTTGCCGCTTAATTGCAGCAGCGCATAATAATTAACTCGCACATAGCAACAACAATAAAAAAGCAAAACATCGAAAAGCAACGAAGTATCGCACATCATGAAGCCAGGACGATGGGGATCTGGTCATCAACGGCTGACGTCTTCATTGCATCAGATGATGGCCTTGTTTCTGTCATCGGTCGTAGTATACGGTGCGCATCCGTCGGTCGGTGGTACGAACAAGTTCAGTACCGTGCATATTTGTTTATTTACCATCGACCTATGGTAAATGTACTACTGTAGTCACTGGTGTCGAAATTAAGGCATATGGTCGAACTTACCTGAGCAGTCTATTCAAAAATTAAATCCCATGAGTTAAACTGTATATTTACACGTAACACGAGGAAGAGTCAGGAAGGTAACCGGTCTGTCTCGCGGTGTCAGCCATTAACAGCCTTTAGTGCATCCATGCGAATCTCAGGTAAAGAGTTAATTGAAAAGTTGTACGATTTGTAGACCATATCTAATGGTGGCGAAAGAGTACGAATCTCGTGTTCCCCTAAACCAGCTTTCAGCGTGATCTGCTCGGCTGATTTACAGATTTCCATGTAAGTATGTATCTGTGCAGTAAGCCCGGACACTGAATACTGTTTAGGCTATTTAACGGCACGTAGTTATAAGATTTGCACGCAGGAGCCCACTTTTTCAGAATACCTCTTGCTGCCACACACCCACTTTTCTACGAAAGCGGCTGTCAGATACTACCGCGAAATCAGAATAAGCCAAAGTTGGACGAAGATATATTTCCGTCAAAATCACGTTAGATCTGCAGCGTTAAAATTAGGTAACGAGGGATAACAGAGATACAAGGGTGGTTGGCTGTGAAGCTCAACAACGAAGCATACTGCTCAATACTGTAGAAGTAGACGGCAAAGAATCAACAAATCATAAAGGAAAGCGCTTGCAACGACATAAACAAATGAATACCTCGAAGGAAACAGGAAGGTGCTGTTTTCCTCATTGCGTGCGAACTGGGTCTGCGAACATCCATATAGAATTCTAGAGAGGATTCGAACGTGAAAGTGAAAGATAAGCGCAGAAAACTAGACACAGGCTCTGAAGACTTGCGAGCGCTGATTTGATTATCGCAGAATAATTGCATATCCACCGTCGCAACCAAAAATCATTTGCATAATATGCCACTGTGAAGTACACTCGTACGAACTTAAGTCTGTAATAGTTTAAACAGGGCTTTATCGCCGTACGGGTTCAATTTTGCTCAAGGGTAAAATTAATATAAATTATGAAAGTACCCAGAATGTATGGTTAAAATGCAAATGAACAAATATCCTTTTATACCATAGCAAAGAACGATGAATACACTAGCAATAGTGAGAATAGGGCCA